ACCCTCAGGGAGGTAACCTCTAAGCAGCTGACCTCCAAGTGCACAGTCATTGAAGATGTGTTGCATGCAGCATCTTAGGTTTGGTATATATTTGGAGGACAACCTGGGGAAAAACCCTTCTGCATCCCACACAGACCTTACTGACTGGTGTAGTGGAGATGCGTTGGCCTGATCTGTGAGATGAGCAGTTCAAAACCACCATCGGCTCATCAGAGAAAGACTGGGCTTTCTACTACCAAGGAGAGTCACAGTCTCGGAAACTCACAGGGCAGCTCTATCTACCCCGTCCTATGCTGGGTCACTAAGAGTTGACACTGACTCCATTGGCAGTGCATGAATGCGTGTTTGGTTATAAGAAGGAATCGGGATATTTTGGGTTTAAGAAAGGTGATCTCAGAGCAAGAGTTTGGGTGGGTGGGGAGGGGTGGTCATCCAGCCTAGCCTCGAGGGTTTTGCATCATCCCTTTTTTGGACAGGATGGTTCTACGGACTCTTTGGTCCAAATGATCATCTAATGCCAGCTGGGCGCCATGCAGATCTCTGGGTCTCATGGCAAAGGAGGGGGTTCGTGGGGGTCGGCCATTAGCTCTCTCCTGTTGCTCCAGGCCTCAGGGGGGTTATTTTTAATCTAAGGTTTAAAGACTCATTTAGGGTAATAGTCTCAGGAATTCATCCAGCCTCCAAAGCTCAGGGGAAAAAAATGCCTTCCCTAAAAAATTCAAAATTCCCGCCCCCTTAGTGATGAGGCTTCTTCTATACAATCTGTGATTAACATGCTTTGTAACTTTAGTCAGGCACTATTCAATTATGTTCTCATTCATGGGAGGCAGTTTCTCATGCTGGTTATTGGTCACGCATTCTGTAGCCTACTCCGATGCCACCTCCTGATTCTAGAAGCCCACTTCGAACACGAGCTGCTCTCTCTGGCATTGCTCTCCACCATGCCATCTCGTGGCGGTTGGTTTTCCTGTGAAACGCCTTCTCCATTCAACCCCAAAGTTACTCTTTCTTAACCCTTTCCCTGACTGAGGCATCACTAGGGGCTCCCTCTGCTGTGCTCCCACAGCAAAGGATCGCCTCCACATCTGTCTGCCAACTTCCCACCAGCCCCAGGAGTCCTTTACGAGTAAGTCTAATTCTGATCTGTGCCCTCGGTGCCTAGTTCAAGGCTATCATCTCTCACATCAATTTGGCCAAACCGATCTCATCCCTTCTTTCCTGCTTCCCTCTCGCCCCTCCCCCTTCACCTGGTGACCTGGGTGTAGCGCTCACAGGGAATTTAATGGTGCTTTCCCTCTGGGGTGCTCAGCTGGAGGCAGGCAGAGCAGACCTGAGTGGGCTGTGGGTGGGCTCGCGGGAGGAGTGGCTGCTTTGCGCATGCAACAGAGGGCCTCCTGCAAATCAGACGCGATCGCCTTCACTTCCTGTGCTCAGATGAGATACTACTTAATCAATTTTTTGTTCTTCTCTTAATATTTGAAACTACCAAGTGCCAAGTTGCCATCCTAGTGGGTGGCTTTCAGAAATCCCCTTTTCTGCTGTTTGACTTCCTGTGAGTTTCATGAAACCAATCTCTTTGGAAAGAACTGGACCGAGTTCTTTGAACTGTTTGTGAAACCTCGTCAGGAAGTGACTTGGGATCTGGGTTAGACAGTCTTGTCTCCTTCCCAGGAGAGGTGGCAGTAATGAAATACAGGTGTGCGTGGGGCTGTAATGTGTTCCCGTGGCGATTTCTTCACGTGTGGCCGTGCTGACACATCGAATCAACCAGAGACTGCCTGTTCTACAGCTGTGTCACACCCATGAGACTTCACCATCTGTTCTGTGGGATTGATAGACTTCCTCTCTTACCAAGGGCTTGGGTTTCAGCCTGATCTTTGTCATCTAAGCAGTTGTTTGATGCAAAAATGCTTTGGGAGTAAGAATTTTTCTTTGAAAGAAAGGAGTATTTTTATTTTCTCTCTATTATTCAATTTCTATACTTCATCTGCTTCTGATTCATACCACTTCTGTCCTTGCCAGTTATATTTGAGAATAAATAAAGGTGACTCGAGTCTAAGAGATGAACTTTTGGGCAAAACACCAACAACCCTTCAGTGCAGTGTAATAAAAGTCTTACTTTTCAATTTCACAAACTTTTTGAAGTGTCCTCATATGTACATCTATTTATTTAAGGAACCCTGGTGGTGCTGTTAGATCTTGGGTGGCTAACTGCAAGGTTGACTGTTCAAACCCACCTGTTACTTCACGGCAGGAAGGGCTGTCTGCACCTGTAAAGATTTACAGCTTGGGAGATGTTATATAAGGTTGCTAGGGCTTTTGAGGATCAACTTGATATAGTACCTTGTTTGTCATCTTCTATCTAAGAGCCCTGGTAGGATAATGGTTAATGTTTGGCTGCCACCCGTGAGGTCATCAGCTCAAAACCAATGACTCTGGGGGAGAGAGATGAGGCTTTCTACTGCCCCAAAGGGTTACAGCCCCAGAAGCCCACAGCGGCAGTTCTGCTTTGTCCTATAGGGTCACCACCATGAATCAGAATGGACTCACAGGCATTGACTTTGCTTTGTTGTCATCTATCTAGGAACCCTGTTGTTGTAATGCATATACCATGACCTATGGGCTGCTAACTACAAGGTTAGCAGTTCAAAACCACGAACCACTTCTTTGGAGAAAAATAAAGCTTTCTACTCCCCTAAGTACAGTCTTGGAAACCTACTGGGGCAGTTCTACCCTGCCCTACAAGGTAGCCATGCATCAGAACTGACTTGATGGCACTGTTTGGTTTCAGTTATCATCTAGGCACCCATATACATGCAGGTAATAAATAACATTGCTACTATGATTTCAGCGCATGCATGCATGGGCTTATACCAAGTAAAACATGGTCTGTAACTACTGAATGGTTGGGGACACGTTCCCTCAGTAAAACAATCACCTTTGTTGCTCAGGCACCTTTAAAAAGGGGCGGAGTGGGGCGGGGAAGGATACTTGTGTGACCTTGGAGAAAACTGAGGTTAGGAATAATAGCAAAATTTTAAACAAAACTCAAATGGGCAGCTTCCCAAATCACGGGAGCTTTGCAATAAATTTGCAATTGGAATGTTTCTGCACAATCTTTAGATGGATCAAGCATTTTAAGGAAAGCTGGCAAGACTTGAAGCGGGACGAATGAAGGGAAGGTGGCTGAAGCGGAGAGGCGGTGCAAGACCGCCGTTACCAGGTGCTAAGGTGCTAGCTGCTGCTGTTGGGATTCCACCTGGCTCAGCAGTTTCAAGTTACAGTGAACATCTTGGCTTCAGCAAACTTGGCTCAGTGGGTGCCCCGAGGGCTGATCTCTCCATCGGTCTTTGAAGCACACGGGAAGCCACTCAAGATGACTGTATGGAAGGAAACCTGTTTCCGATTCGCCATTATGATCCAGGACAAGTATGAGGCATGAGCAGCTTCCAAGGGGATCTGCCAGCCAGGTCAGTAACTGTTGGTGGGAGCAGAAAGCCATCTTTCTCCTAAGAGGAGGGTCAGAGACAGGAACACTACATTCAAACTGTCTAGATCCAGATGCAGGATATGTTGAGAATCAAATTTCACATTTTATTTAAAAGTTTTCTGATTATATAGCAACACTTTTTAGTTTACCCTCTAATAGTATTTGTATCAGGGTCCACAATCTGTTAGAATGCTTGTTAACATTTCAGCATTTTAATCGTAGTGTAGGGAGTCAGTAGCACCTTCAGAAATCCACACTCCAGGTTGGCCAGCAATTTGGAAGCCCGCACTTCAAATGCAACTAGCTCTGTCACAGTTCAATCAACCAATTTGTCTATTTGGCTTCCAATTCAATGCCATTGAGTTGATGCTGTCTATAGGGCAGAGTAGAACTTCCCCTGTGGGTTTCTGAAATGGTCAATCTTCATGGGAATGGAAAGCCTACATGTCCAATGCGTCTCCTGTGGTTAAACAAGTAATTTTAAGGTATGACATCAGAGGTAGGCATTGGCGCTCATTTGTTACTGCTCTTACAAGAAGTGTAAGGATGATGTGATATGTGGACCGTGTCAAAACGTTTTAAAAAATAAAACTTTAAGGATGCAGCACACTCTGTAACCTGTACTTCTATGGACAATATCCAAGGCTTAACTGCTAAACACACCTGTGCCCCACCATGAGTAGATGATGCTGGCTACAAGATTTTGTGGACAAAAACTTGCCTTTACAAGTCTACCTTACTGAACCCTGGCTGCAAAGGTGGTCAGATAACCTAGTAGACCAGAACGCTCGGACTTCTTTCGGCTTACACAGAAGGTTGTACAAACTGTTGTTACTGTATGCCAGTAACTATGTAGGTAAAGCACCGACTACACCTTAGCATAAGAAAAATAAAAAAAATCCTACAACTGGACCAGTAAGCAACATGCTCAATGGAGATTTAAGGACCACTGACGAACTGATGCATTTGAATTATGGTGCTGGCAAAGGACACTGAGCAATAGCACCATGGACTGCCAGGAGGACAAGTGTTTTGGAAGATGTACAGCCACAATGCTCCTTTGAAGTGAGGGGAGCGACCCTTCACCTCGGGCACTTTGGGCATGTGGTCAGGAGACAAGTCCCTGGAAGAAGACATCCTACTTGGTGGGGGTCCAACAGGGAACAGAGGAGGGAACAGCAGTGGCGGCCAACAGCGCATCACAGACCCCCAACTGTGAGGATGGAGAACGCAGCAGTGTTTCCTTCTGCTAGTAAGGCTGATGTGCATCCAAACCGACTAGATTACACCTGACACGTGTGGCAAAACTGAGCCTGGCTTTCAGACTCCATCGGCAGGAAGCTGTGGCAGTCACTCATCCTCGCCAATTCCACGACAGCTACCACCATCTGACCAGGCAAGCGAGCCAGAGTGGCAAGTAACTGGTTGTCAGTTTGAAAAATAACTAGGAAAGGGTTCTTTGCTACTCCCATCTCAATTATTCCCAAATAATAACACTCAAGCACCAAAATTTATCAAAGCAAGTTTATTCGATTATTGATTCCATCATTAATGAGGTTCCAGTGTACAACTGAGAGTAAAGGCGATCCAAGTAAGGGCAGGAACAATCAGAACTACACAAACATCTTTCACGAGAGCAACAGCAGCTCTTTCCTTTGACAGAATACTGCCAGTTAACACAGCACCAGCTGTCTCAAAAATATCCCAAGTCCTCTGTAAGGCAATTTTGTGGAGCTTTGCTAAAATGCAGCAAATAGTCGAAACATGACAGCAGCCTTAATGGTAATCATATGTGCAACTTGAGTGTAAAATTATGTGAGAAAACTTAAGAAAAAACAGATAGAAAATGATTTAAACCTGCCCCCCCCCAAAAAAAACAAAAACAAAAACACCACAACTGAGTAGAATTATACAACCAAAAAAAGAAAAAATAGGAATTTGGGAAAGATGAGACCTTGCACAAGTCTTATAAAAAATCCTAAACAAATAGTTATCATCATTGAGATGTACTTCCTTCCACCACCGGCACTATTTTTTAATACTATCATGACACAAATCCTATGCTTTATAGGCAGTTATTTTCACATACACAACTTTATCAAAAAATGTATATTGTAACCTAAAGCTCTTCTATTTATTGGTCTGTTCAGTCTCTTAAGGCCCGAACCATGACCTAAGTATGAACCTGAGTACGACCAAACTCAAGAGTATTCGTATATCCAGCAGCATGCATTTTTCTACTCTTGCCGATGCTTCGTTTTTTGAACCTTGGGGAGAAACTCAGTGTTCCAGAAGAGTCCTCCACCAGGTCCCTTGACTAGTTAGGAGCCACACACAGTACGTTTCCAGAAATATCCTGCAGAAAAATCCCACGGGAAGATTTTCCAACTAGTTCATCGTCATTCAATCCTGGACAGCTATGGTTCCTACCTTTTTTGAGGGTCACGAACTGCTCCAAAGAAAGGTATGAACTACCCCCCCCCCAAAATGCAATATACATAAAAACATTACTATGTACAACTGCAAGGGGCCCCCTAAGGGTCCATGGCCCCCAAGTTAGGCACTCTTATTTTGAACTTGTTGATCCAGCAGCAATGACGTTTACCCCATACAACATTCCCATCTTCACTTAATTGTTCCTATGGCAAATTGCTATCAATCATTTAGTCACCTGCTAATCTAAGACAAAGTTATTCATTCTTTTAAGCACCAACAGACTTAAAATTCATCCTCCTGTCCCAATTTCGGCAGGTTTTATGCCATGTACCTGGTATTTGAAATTGGTTAGGTCCCTACAGTATAAGCTAGCAGGTAAGTGTTTGCCTTGAGCTCCAGTCACTGAAAACGAGCAGATTAAAGGTTAATACCTTTGTGAAAATGAACATGCATCTAAATTTTGAAGAACAGGCAAGGTGCCTTTATAAAATATGTTTCTAGATAACAGTTGAAAACAAACACCTATACTTAACACCTCAGAGAATAACAAACAATCCCACAGCAGGTCTTCTCCTTTTACTTACGTGGAACTGGTATACTGGTATTGTGGACGACTCCCTCCTATGACAACAGAATATCAGGCAAGTTTTCTATCTACTGTCCAGGAGAGAAAACACTTCATTTCTGACCGAACCCACCAGGATTCTGAAGCTGCATCACTGATCATGCCTTCCCCTATGTTGAATGGACCAACAAACGGAGAGAAATGACTAGCTCACAGTACAAGGCTGAGCTCACTGCTTTCTTGTTGAAGAAAAACAACACGACTAACTCTAGGCACCTGCTTGCCTAGTATGGTGAACCTGCACACACAGAAGATCCTCAGAGGCTCTGAAGACTGCTTTAGCAGCAGGGGCGGGCAGCTGGCATGTCAGCTTCACCGTGCAAACACATCAAATATATAAAACTCAATCAAATCCCATACAATAGAACTTTCGAGCCAGCTGATCTGTTCATCATCACTCAGGTTTTGCGCTGAGTGTTTGGCGAACGAACTCCAGAATACTCGAATCAAGGACCAGCTGAGAGGTTTCACCTTGGTCACGGGACTTCATTTTTCTTGCTTTTTGCTATCTACAAAAATGAATACTGGAACAACCAATGCTGATCCTTGCTCTCTTTCCTTCTGAGAAGGATTTCCTTTGCAGAGATTCAGGAGGGAGGGAACCGGGGCAGGAATGGGAGGAGTCTGCTCTCTGACCCTCGGGGCCCAATGATTCCACTGCAAGGGGCTAGTGGAAGAGTCAGATGGCTCCTGGATGCTGACCACAGGTAGCGCAGGGGTACCGAAATACACAACCAAATATTTTCCACCTAATTTTCAAAGGTGCCATTTTGTGTTTCCCTACTGGGCTACTAAACACTGAATGAAAGGTGCATCAGGTACTATTTATTGGCATCCGGGGCTGTGCAATCTGTACATTTTCCTTTTAAGAAGAATTCAAGCATAATCCATATTTTAAAAATTAGACTAAAGAGAGACAACAAAGGTTTTAAAGTTTTCTCTTTGAAAAGATGGTATCTTACAGTACATACAAAAATACTCTGAAAATACATGACTTCATTTACAAAACACTGAATCAAACATTACAAGAATTACATGGTTATGGACTGTAATAAACTGAGCATGCGTTCATGAAACGTAAAGAAGATTAAGAAATGTGTTGAAAAAAGCAGTGTAAAAAAAGACAACTCATAGTTAAATAAAAATTACAAAGGCCCTGAGCCAATTAATGGTTGGTAACAATGTTGGTAACAAACCCACTGCCTAGCTCCGCATGCCCAGCCCAGGGAGAAACTGTTTTAAGCTGTAGAGTCAGTGACTGTCAGGAAATATCACACCTCGGCTAATTTTACACCTCAAAAATACAACTTTTTCATATTTAAGGATATCTTATTGTTGATGCTGGCATGAGCTGCTTGTTGGTAAAAAGAAAAAAATACCAGTCAACTAACAAGAATGGCATATAATAGGTTATGTAACAATTTCAACGTTCATTTACTGATTTTCAGTATTCTGGTTATATTTTGATTTTTAATAAAGATGCATTTCAGAGGCCTCCATGGGAGGCAAAATAGAAAGAAATCATGGTGCCCCACCCTCGTACGTAATCACTGGACGAATCCTCCCTGATAGCTGTGCACACTGTACAGAAAAGCATACACACCAACATGTTTACACATTCCATGTGCCAATCTGGAAAAATAATTTAAGTCAACAGAACAGACAATAAAGACATCTACATAAACGAGGAAAGCTACCTCACATTCATCCATCTCGGGTTTCACAAAGCGGCTTCAATGCTAAAGCAAATGTGCTGACAAATTACAAGACTTTTTTTGTGTTTTTTTGTTTTCAACTTTTTTAGCTCTACACAGTGATTATAACATACAAGTAGGAAGGAAGGAAGGAAGGTCAGAAGGAAGGAAGGAAGGCGGGAAGGAAGAAAGGAGACAGGAAGGAAGGAAAGGAGGGAGAAGAAAAGAAACAGAAAGAGGGGAAGTTCAGTGGCCCAAACTGGTTCTAACAGAAAAACCAGCACTGAGAATTAAGGCAGCAAACCCTCCAAACTCAAAGCCAAAATACTGACAATCGGACAGCAGGTGGTCCTCAGAGAGGTGCATGCAGCAATCAGTGAGAGACTGCTACAGCACCTGCAGGTCAGAGTGTAAACGTTAAAAACCCACCTGCAGGTCAGGAGGTGGTGACTGTCACTTCCATCATCTTGGGATGACAGCCACTGCACGTTTAAAAAGAGCAGCTGGTTCTTTGCCACTAACTGACTGCATGTTCACTAAGTGGGGAGGCACGGCTTTTACCGATTAAGGGTCAGTCGGATGGAATTTTTGACAACACGGATGCTTTTTGCTGGAACTGGAGATGATGAATCCGGAAGTTCCTTACTGGGTAGTCTCTAGTAGAAAACAGAGAAACCAAGAAGAAGACACACATCTGAGATCAAGGTCCACACGTGACACGGTACTAAATCCAACTACAAGACCAGTCACCAAACTTCAGTCTGCGGACTCCCTCCTCCTCTCCTGGATCACAGGCATCTCTTGGAACCTTCTGCCAAGTCAAAGGTGAAGTGCAGAGGGTGTAAGTCAGGGTAGAGTCTGTGTGTGTAAAGGAAGAGAGGCCTTTCACTTGTGTGTTGAGGAATGTATAAAGGTCCTCATCAGAGCCAGGCACTTGTAAGAGAGAAACAGGGAGAAGACAGTCAAGAGGAAGCTCTCGGAGGAGCGGGGTGGGAGAAGTGACCAAGCAGGGAGAAGACAGTCAAGAGGAAGCTCTCGGAGGAGCGGGGTGGGAGAAGTGACCAAGCTATGTGTCAGAGAGAGGAAAGCTTAATATATGAGAACTGCATTCCTCAGTGTGTGTCTGCAATGCCCTCCACAGAGAAGAGCACTGTAGTCACCAGCATGCGCAGTCTTTCTGTCAGGCAAGGCAATTGTGATAGTGGTGAAATGTAGGAACATCTGTGTAACGGATTCTGCAGGCTATTATGAAGACAAGAAAGAGTCTCAGCAACTGAGAAGCAACAGAAGACCTCCAAAATACAGACTGCGTGACGGAAACAGTATGTGAATTTTTTGCCAAGGGATGACTGCAAAAATTAATTTTCCTCTTGTGTTATTTCTGCTACACAAATACCCATTATCACACTCACATCCATTAAAAAGAGATTATGTGTACCCAATCACAATGATCGACGCATAATTCCTCTCTCACCGCTCCCTAGGGGGATGAGCAACAGAAAGTGGGTGAAGGGAGACAGTGGTCAGTGTTAAGAGATGAAAACAATAATAATTTATAATTTATCAAGGGGTCATGAGGATGAGAAGGGAGAGTGAAGAAAAAAAAAGAGCTGATACCAAGGGATCAAATAGAAAGTAAATGTTTAGAAAATGATGTCAACATATGTAAAAATATGCTTGACACAAGTGATGTATGGAATGTCATTCCCCAATAAGATGATCTTTTTTTTTTTTTTAAATCCATTTATTGGGGCTCATACAATTCATCACAATACATACATCAATTGTGTAGAGCACATCTATACATTTGTTGCCCTCATCATTCCCAAAATTCGCTTGCCTCTTGGGTTCCCGGAATCAGCTCACTTTCCTTTTTTTTCCCCCTCCCCCTCCCTTCCTCTGCCCCTCTCCCCCATGCACCCTTGATAATTTATAAATTATTATTATGTCTTATATTACACTGCCCGGCGTCTCCCTTCACCTACCCCTCTGTTGCCCATCCCCCAGAGAGGAGGAGATTATATGTAGTTCTCTGTGATCAATTCCCTTACTACACCCCCCTTCCCTCCTGGTATCGCCACTGTCACCCCTGGTCCTGAGTGGATGTGTATGTGTTTGAGGGTGTGTATGTGTTTGAGGGTGGGGGGAGAATGTTCTAAAACTGATGTGGCGATGATTGTACAATTCTTAGTATGATTGAATGATATGTAAATTATGTGTCAATAAAACTGTTGGGGGGTGGGGAAGAAATCTTATAATGCAGAATGAGGTTTTCATTCAGACAGAGTGCTACTGACTTAACTTAGGTAACTGGCTTTCAGAGCCACACCGTCAAGAGTTTTGCATTAAGCGGCAGCTGACAGAAAGTCTATGGAGAAGTCACCATCCTACATGGCCAACACTGAATTATGACTGTGGGTTAGACTTGCTTCTGTGTTGGGTGGTCTCTAACAAGTTGTATCTTCCTCACTATCCTTAGTTTCTCTCCTTACTTGTCAGATATTAATATTGCTGAAATCAAGTAAGATAATGAATGAGAAGTACTTGGCACATATTACATTTAACAAATATGAATTTTTTTTTTAAATTATGAAAAATATCCAGCAGAGAATAGTACAGTGTGGCTGTAGGTGCCACAACCAAGTTCAGCCATGATTACAATTTTGACATGCTGTTTTGGCTTAGCCCTGTAACTTTTATCCCTAAGCTATTTTGAATTAAAAATTGATATTGTCATGTTATTAAACATCTCAAAGCGGTCTGCTTCCATTATCATCCTAACAACACACCCAGGTTTCTTGTAACTCACTGTCTCGTTACAGCGAGAGTGCCACAAGCTCCAGTGAGAGCTCTGTCGGTTCTGTTCTCAGAGGGCGGCACTGGGGAAGGTGGCGGGGGAGCAGGGGGCAGTGAGAGGCACTTGACATTCTGATGCGTGAAAATAAACTCATCTGCACCTACAGGGTACAAGTTTTACTTCTAAATTTTACCTGTAAATAAGGCTACATATTACCTTTATGCGTGATGTATCAATAGTTGGAATAGGCATAGATTCTCCTTCAGCGGTGTCCTAAGAGCAGAAGAATTATACAAAAATAAGAGCTTTCTTTTCTATAGGTAAACGCTGTGGCCAGCATTAAATGCTTCCACGAAAGAGAACATAAGCAAAGCTTGTCGGTGGATTGAGTTACTGATCCACTGCCTAACAAGGTCTGACTTGAACGTATGGCTCGGGAACAACGCATGTTTGGGAGCACACAGCTAATGTATTTACCACTGCTTTTCTCTTCCTGTTTTCAGCAGCACGAGGGTCTTTAAACGTTGACTCAATATGAAGAAGCTAAAATATTAACATGAAAATGAGTTATTATTACAGATTTAAGGGGGAACCCCCCCCTCCCCAAATCCACAAAAACAAAAGCTTATCAATTTGGAGACTAATTACTGATTAGCAAACCACTATAAACATGGGTGTACTGGGCAGAGATTTTAAATTAGGTCCAATTCAACCAGGCCCCTTAATTTCTATAGTTTGATCTTTATGGTGAGATCAATTCAGAGTGTAACTAAGATATAGCTTAACCCCCACCTACTGGAGGCAAAGATGACCCGCACTAAGTATCAGTCATTTAAGTTATTACCACTGTAAAGTTCTGTACAAGTCACAGAGAAACTCAGACCAGTCATTCCAGTTTTCAGACACACTGAAATTTGAATTTAGGTCAATTTGATTTTACGATTAAAAAAATCAGTATCATTCTTCTGTTTCATTTACAAGCCTTCTTTTAAACAGCCAAAACAAAGAGGACACTCAGGAGCAACAGGCAACTTTTAGCTTCGTTTGTGCTATTTTAGCTTTGGGTGTCACCTTCTTTTTGAAGGCAGTGTTTCACAAATCAACTACTGAATCACCACGAAAACAGCAGTACCTTTTCCTCTGCATCTTTCAGCTTCGTGGAAGGCCCATCGACTGATGGGGACAGGGATGTCTGGGGGGTAATGCTCTTCGTCATATTTGACAGTCCATTGAGGTGTGGCTGGCCCTGGGCAGGGTTGTGGGGGGCTGGGACTCTAGGAACGACATTCCGTCCTACTACCGTAGGGATGGTGCACACAGCTGGGGGTGAGGCCGCTTTCACTGTGGAGTCTGCTTCTGAAAGGGGGAGGGGCCTTTAGTAACCCAATCACATTGCAGAATTAGCAGAATCAGTCCCACCAGGCATTCAGACACCTACTTGCGCCAATGACTGGAATGGACAGTCCGTGGGCCGGCGGAGCACTCGGGGGCTTCTTCTCAGTCACGGCCGCCCCGGGCTCAGCGCTGCTCCTAGTCAAAGCAGTGACTGCTGTCATTCAAGCAGTGATTTAAACAGGACTTACTGAAAACACCCTTAATTTGTAGGATTTCTTTGTTAAAGCACTTTTTAAAAAAAAGTAACAAACACAATTTTATTTATGTACTTTTCAATAAGTTTGCATCACATGGATTGTGTCCAATAGCCTTAGCAGGCAGGTGGTACAGCACTCTTATTTTTAGGACAGAAGATCCAGTGAGAATTAAAATTTATGAATTAAAATTTAAACAGGAAGCCTGTGCATTTCTGTGTATGCATCTATACCCACATGCTCAGAAGCCTACCCTAGTCGCCCAGAGGGTTACTACAAATGGGTCAATATTTCTAAGCAGGAAATCAACCAACAATTAATACTACCTTTCGACAACGAAGAAAAGGCATTTAGGAAAGGTAAAGAAGAGTCTACATTGTGCCCAAGAAAACTTCAACCAGAGGCTGAAAGGACAACTGTGAAGCACACCTTTCTGCTTCTCCCCCAGGACGACTGTCAGGCTTCGAGGGTCTGACTAATGACACTGGGGAATTAAAAGGGGTTCCATTATCAGTGTCTCTGGAGCTATCCAAGGATTTGCCATCCAGCGACGGTCTCTTGGATTGAAGTCCACCCAAACTCTGACTTACATCAGAAAGACTTTGCTGAAAGAAGGGAAAACGTATTAATTTCAAGAAGCAAAAGCGAATATAAAGAGGCTATCAATTTTGATGTTCAAGAGGGCATTAAAAAGTTTGTAGAAAAATTCCACTTCCTTCTAATTCTCCAATAGATGTGGATTGTCTTTTACGACCAAAGTCAGTCAGATCTGAGTGCTGGATTGAATTTTGCTGCATGCACCACCCCCCGCCCAGCCCTGTTTCTTCCTCAAATGTCTGGGAGCTGTTATGAGCACAAATTGGTTCCCAGGACCGTTCACTTGACTGGAGCCATAAGCTACAAGCTGACCTTTTTCTTCTTTTGAAGAATGTCTGGTGGAAGGTAGTAATGAAGCTGTTTCTTCTTTACATGCGTGGCTTCAATTTTCATTCCCTCCTTTAACATGTTTATATTGTTTGCTTGTCTGTAGACTGTAAAAATGTAAGTTAATAGCAAACTACTTTCTGAACCAATGGCTGTCATTATTTGTATATGCACACATCTCCACTATGTTTCCATTACTTTACACACACTTATCACTCCCTAATGAACAAATACTTCTTAAACATTTCCACATCACAATACTATTTGAAAATTGTCGAGGGTGGGTTGGAAAGGGGGAACCGATTACAAGATCTACATGTGACCTCTTCCCTGGGGGACAGACAACAGAAAAGTGGGTGAAGGGAGACATCGGACAGGGCAAGATATGACAAAATAATAATTTATAAATTATCAAGGGTTCATGAGGGATGAACCATGTAGAGTGTATTAACTGTTTGAAGATGGAAGAAAACTAAGCAGTTAATACACTCTACATGGCACAAAGACCCCCAAAAGTATCTAGTGAAGCCCCCTCCTTCCTGTTCCCGGACACCCTCAGTCCCCTGACCCAGAAACGACGACTTCTGCCACTTTTTCTTTATCCAGCCATGTGTCCTTTTGGCCACGGTCTGCACACCTTGCTTTTGTCCTTTGTGTCCTTCTATAAATGGTAACACAGTTTATGCTATGTTTTCCAACCCCTCTTCCCCAAGTATGTCTTAGAAATTACTTCACCCTTTCTTTTAATAGCCACCTTAGTATTCTACAGTTATGCAATATAGACATACCACATTCATTTGAACAATTGTGGAACTTGAGAAAATATAGCCGGCCAGATCTTAGATAGGAGAGCCAGTGTATGAGAGAGTCTTACCTGTGTCCGTAAATGACTGGATATCATATGTCAAGTCTATGTTAACACTTTCTGCATTTTCTACTCGCCGAAAAATTATTCCCAGGAACCACATTGATACATAATTGTTGCTACAAAGGTAAAATGTAAGGATTCCCATTAATTTTTATAATTTTATATAAACCACTCAATAATTAAAAGTTGCTTAGTATATAAGCATAAATACAATTCATAATGGCTTGGCCAAATTCTTAAACTGGTCTCTAAAACAATGTGAAGTTATCCGGTGTTATGGCCTAGAGTAAGAGATGCCCCAGATATTACCCTAAAGTCTTGTTGAGGCCTGAGGGCAACCAAACAGAATGCACTTCGTGTTCATGAATAGCCGCTCATAATCAAACACATAACGTATTATCCCATGAATGTGCCTAAGCAACTTATTCTTCAAATTACTTACTCTTTATGGTGTTCTTTATTTCCTGGGAACGATTGGGGATTTACATGAGCAAGAATAATAAATTCATTGCGTTCTAAATTTCCAACAAGGACGCGAATTTTAGATTCCACTAACCCGACCCTGAAATAAAAGAATGGAACAAGGTTTTGTTTGTCTACGTCCTTATTTAATTTGGAAGCTATATTCACATACGCCAAACATTATGCTTTACATGTTCATAGGGATTTATTGAAATTGGATCAAATATTACTAACACTGATAATATATTCAGACTTCTACAATTCCACTCTCTACTTCAGAAAGATAGTGGTTGTCAGATATTCTTTGTCACTTTATGAACTAGAAAGAATCCACAGGAATATTTTAATTTGCCAAATACTTGAACAGGCTTACATATTTATGCGCTTCATCAGCAGATATACACCAAGTGGAATTCTTTCCCAGTGTTACACAAGGGAGGCACTGACAAACTCTTTACACCAAGGGACGGGCAGCAAATATTTTAGGCTTTGTGAGACACGTAGTGTCAATTAGTTACACCTAGCCAACTCTGCCATGTTGCACAAAACATACTATAAAAAACATGTACACAAACAAGCACGACTGGTTCCACATGAAACTTTATAGATTATATTGCTCTTGACCCTTCATCTGGACAAATTAAAACACTCCAGTGAAAAGGTTCTTTTAATTACCTTTCATCTCTTGAAGCAAAAATAAGACCGTACTGTCATGTTTCACTTTTCCAGAAGTCACACCAGAGGAAAGCAAAACCAACTCTGGTGGCCTAACAGCGTCTGCCTGGCGGGGCCAGGGACGTAGCACACACACTTCCATTCACTCCCATGGTGGTGCTGTGAAATTGGATGGGAGTAATCTGAACGCTGAGCGAACACCCTGTTATGCACAGGTAGTCTGAGAGTCTCAAAAAGTATGTGGATCAATTCCATTTTCCCACAACCTTTCTGCAGTACCCTGCTCATGCATGTTTGGACAGGTTCAGTACACATGCCAAGGTAAGCCCTGAGTGATCTGTGAGTCCCAAACAGCTGTGGGAAGCCTGGCCTGGTCAGAGCCTGGTGGGAGTTGGAAGGCTCGAGAGATGGAACGGAGCGACTACTTCCCAGCATCTCCCTGCAAGTTGCTGCAAGGACACAAGTCACAATGGCAGGTGCAGCCCAGGGGCTGCAGCCAAACTGTGGTGGTGGCAGCCCCTAACAGTGGAAACCTGAAGCTTAGTCTTGCCTCCTGGTGCCTCCTAGGCAAGGCCCCTCCTTCCCATACCACGAATGCTTTTGTGGACATTCTATTGTCCAAACATGTTGTGTGGTACATACTTGAGGCCAAAGTGAATTCCGATGAAATAGGGCCTTTTGACCAAAAAACAACTCCTATCTCGACAGAAGCTAAATATTCTGTAATCTTTCATGTTATCTCATGGCCTAAATTAAAAGGATTTTTGCCTTCCCTCCAAATATTTGAAGGAAAACATGAGCAAAAGGGGGGAGGGAGAACATAGCAAAAGGAAGCTGGGTGTCAGATCCATTTACACGGCTTCACTTTGCTTTAATTTGACTGCAAAATGACAATAAGGGATTATCATCTGCACATATATCCTTATATCCTATTTCACTCTTGATTCTGAAAAATAAACTTGATGTTATTAAAACACTAAAGGCTCCAGAATAACATACAACAGTCAGAGGCATAATCTAGGAATTTGGACAGTGAGGAAAAATGGCAAAACACGCACACATCACTGCTACAGAGAGCCAAATGAGTTACCATCAAGTGACACCAACTCTCGGCAACCCCATGTGCAGAGGAGAACTATGCTCCGGCGGACTTTCGTGGCAAAACCAAAAAGGTGGATTCCTACTCAGAGAGATCCTATACGCCGAGAACTTCCCCACAGGGCTTCTGAGGCTGTCAGCCATGAAGGAAGCCGACTGCCACAGCGCCGGCCAGTGGTGCTTCAACTTCTGTGCCACCAGGGTTCCTTTACAAGGCTCAGCATCATATAAATATACTTACACCACCATGCAATCAGGAGAGATTCTGAAATACAAGTCTTACCACTCTAGATGGTTTTCTTCCGTCGAAGCACTGGCAGTCAGGACGATGTAATGCCTGTGGAGAATTTCCAGCACCACCAGAAAACAGACAAAGCCAGAAACATTGTTAGGTCCTGCTTTCCCATCATTCCCATTTCTTCCCACCATGCTCCCAAAGGAGCAAAAGCGCATAAACATAGTTTATGAACACGAAAATAGGTTCAGATTGTCATAAAATTAATTCTAGATCATACAATTAAAAATATACTCATTAATATCAAAACAAACCACTAACACTGTATCAGACACTACTAGAATTTAGAAAGTCTCACTTGAGATCTCCACACATCAACTCTACTAAATTTTCACATTATTGCTCTTAATATACACACACACAAGCTGCAAAATTTCCAATACCTATACTTTTGAAAAAAATTGGGTGGCTCAAATAGTTTGGACCAATCTGATTTTCCTTGGAGAATTTCATCTGTGACTGTGAGACCTAAAGTAAAAGGAAAAGAAAAGGTTGCTTTGAAAATGGATCAAGGGCATTGCTAATTCCTCAATATCCTACACCCCAAACTTCTAATCCAACCACATTCTTGAGTTTAATTTTATATATATA